CTATTTGCGTCCCCCAGCCGCAGCCCCGTACGTCCCCCCTGTGCACCCGGCCCTTCCCCAGCACCCCAACACCCCAGCGGTCACAGGGGGTGACGCCGCAATGGGGCGGGGGGCGTTTCAGTCCACAGAGAGCCATTTGGGGGACGCGGAGGCCAAAGATGCATCGCGGGAGGAGGCACCCCCCGAGCCGGAGCCCCCGAACCCCTTCAGCCAACTGACGGACCAGGAGCTAGAGGAGTACAAGCAGGAGGTGGAGAGGAAAAAGCTGGGGCTGCAGGGTAGGACCGGAGGGGTACGGGGCAGCCCTGGTCCCCAAATTCCCCTCGGAGCTGGTTGGGGTCAGCACGTCTCTCCCTTGGCAGGCGAGAAGGACGAAGCGCCCAAGGAGGGCCAGGCCCCCCCCCCAAAATCGCCCCCCGCACCCCCACCACAGAGCCCGGCCCCGACCCCTGCGGAACCCACGGAGGGTGAGTGGGGCAGCACAGACCTGGAGTGGGGGCTCCAGCAAGGGGATGAGGGCGGCTGCGGCCAAACCCCGCTGAAACGCAGATAAACGGCACCTCCGGGTCCCTTTGCCATTCCCTGGGGGGGTCCCTCCTGTGGCGGGGCCCAGCACCAATGGGGATTCACACCACAAAGGCACCAAAGCCACTGCTTGCCTTGAACGTCGCATCAGGAGGACGTGAGAGTCCAATGGTGGCTTTGAGGGGACACCTCTGCCACCCTCTTAATGCACCAACAGATGCGATATTCCCATTATGACATGTCCCCAAGGGCAAATTCCCATTATTATCTATCCCTGAGTGTGATAATCCCATTATTATAGGTCTCCAATTGAGATATTCCCATTATTATGTCCTCAAGTGCGATATTCCCATCATTATATCACACCCTGTTATTACGTGTCCCTGAGTGCAATATTCCCACTATTACACGTCCCCAAGTGCAAATTTGTCACCTCGCGGCGGGCGCGGGCGCGAGGGCAGCGGGAGGGCGCGGGGCTCCCCGCTTTGCTCATCGTGTCTGGTGGTGTCCGTCCGTCTGTCTGTCTGTCTCCACAACGTCTTGCCTTTCTCTTTCCTCCACGTGTGGCTTTCCCCCCAAGGAGTTACCTCTGAGTGCTTGTGGCCGTAGTAAGTACGGAGGAGGGACCTCGCTCTCCCCGTGGCCCCGTTTCGGGCGCGGGGGAGCGGCGCCCGCAGAAGGAAATGCCTTGGGTCGCTTGGTTTTCGTTGCTACCCCCCTTCCCGCCTGCCTTTTCCCTGCTCTCCATCGCTCGTCCCCGCGGGGAGGGAGGGGAAAGCCCAGGAAATTTGCAGGAGGGGATGGGGGTCCCAGCGCTTCCCATCCGCGGGGCCCAAATCCTGCTCCTGCCCGGGTCCAGCCGGCGAGGGGGGGGTGGATTTAAAGCCCCGCTGCCCCAATTCTCGCTGCCCAAAACCCTCACCTCTTGCTTTCCCCTCGCCAAGGTGACAAAAAGGAGGACGGTGGCC